TCCTCCTCCTCCTCCTCCTCCTCCTCCTCTGTGTCTTCCTCTCTCTGTCAGACAATGGATGCAGCAGAGAGTGCAGAGTGCAGTCTGATGGACAGAGACCTCATGCCGGTCATCTTCACTCTGGCCAAGGCCGGACACCAGGAGCACATCCCACACATGGTGGAGCGCTTGAGGCATGAGAGAGGATACGTTCCAGGTAAACACACACACACACACACACACACACACACACACCCCCCCTACCCCCCTGATGCTGTCTGTAGCAGTTAAAGTATTGTCAAGAAAAGGACTGGTAAATTGTCATCTTGTGCCAATTGGCGAAGGACGGGATGATCGATGATTGTTGCATCTTGCATCAGATCCAAAATGTTCCAAAAATGATCTGTAGAATCTGATTCTGGGCATTTAAACATTTTCTGGTAGAGCAGCATGTCTCTATTTAAAATCCTTAATTACAAACCAGTTTGCTGTGGAGCTGAAACCCAGCATCTCCGTTCTGTTTGTGCTTACCAACACTTTTCACCGCGCTCTGTTAGAGTTGCCAAGTTAACCTTAATGGAAAGGATTTGGATTGTGATCCAAGATAAGAAAAAATCTAAAATGTAACATTGATGTGATTTGTTGCACTCTGTAGTTCAGGCGGTTAAAAGGAGCCATTGACATTTCTATAATATATATATATATATACCAATCTAGGGCTGAACGATTAATCGATTTGAAATCAAAATCGTGATTTGAAATGATGCAATTATCATCATATCATATTATATCATTTTTTTTGTTTTGTTTTGTTCTTCTTGTGTGTCAGTCATCCACACCAATCAAAAGTGCTGTGCTCCACATGTACCAGTCATTGTTAACCAATCAGAAGTGGCCCATGATAGTAGGTGATAGACAGATTGATCCAATCACCTGCCAAGTCTTTTTGAAATACTTTTCCAAATGGCTTCCAATGGAGCTCTCCTAGATGGTTTGGTGAAACAAACCATCTGAGTCAGGTTAGTAATGCTCCATCACATGTTTTACATCTATTACAGGGTGAATGTTTAACTGAAGCTTGACTTTAAAGCAACCCAACGGAAGTTATATGTAAGTGTAGGCGCTCGTGAACTGTTAGCGCCGGTGTTATGCCGTGTGTTATGCCGTGTGTTGTGCATGCCCAGTGCACCTCGCGGGAGCGCGCCACAGCGTGAAGCATAAACTCCCAGACATTTCAATGATTTGTACGGCAAAGTTAGGTCTGGAAACTATATCATTTCCTTTTTGGCGGCCATGCATAACAAGGCATAACACCGGAGCCCTGCTGCGGGGACACTTTGGCGCTGTTCTGAGTTTGTTCTAATCCGTCAAAATGACGGACTGCTTTCAGATTTTTCCGTCATTGTTACAAAAATTCCGTCAGACGGAATATATTCGGTTAACGCGACCTCTGGCCTGACCCTTGATCAGCTGTACATGTAATCCTCTTCAAAGTGTTTTGATGCAGTTTTTGTTGTTCCTCCCGTAGATGCCATGAACCTGTGCCTGAGCCTCATCACACATGGCCTGGAGGACACAGCTTTTTACATCCTGAAGACTTTCCCCAACCTGCAATCTGACGGCTTGAGCAACGAAGCCAGCCTGGGCAACTTCTTCCTCAGACACTGTGTTAACATGGAAATGGTAAACATTTCTCCCTTAACACTAGTCTTACTACAGTGTATGAGGATGAATTTCAATGTTTAAATGTTATTTTTGATCTTACTGCGTGTCTACAGTCACTGGAGAAGATTTGCAGCTTCTGCAAAGAGCTGCAGGAGTCTAACCTGCACGCTTCGCCCGCCAGCTTCACTCTGTTCGTCGCTCTGGAGAATCAGAATACAGGTACGGCTAACTCTTTTATTTAATTTAATTACATTTTTTATTTATTTGTATTTTAAGAAATGATTTGATTACAAGGCAAACATAAAAAAAATCAACACTTGGATACATAAAATAAGTACATAACAAAAATATGAAAGCAAAGGAAAAAACACACATTGATAATAACTTACCTTAGCCTTACACATAATTGAAACAACATTTGGTCTCATACTCCCATCTTTCATCAGAGATGGTTTCTTTTTCTCCTGGTTATTTTTTCCATTCAAAACATGTATTCATAGATGCATTTACACATTCACTTTTTCCATAAAATCACCTTTGTGCATTTGGTAAATTGTAAATGTATATATTAATATATACGAAAAAAAGTAATTTGACTCAATAATTATGTTTTTATTTTCTTTCTGTTTGCAGTTATCTCTTTGGCGATGATGAAGATGCTGAAGGAGCTGGACTTACCCATAAGGCCTCACTACTTTTGGCCTCTCCTTATTCGTCATCTGAAAGGCAAAAACCCAGCTGGTGCGCACACACACACACACACACACACACACCACACACACACACACACACACAACACACACACACACACAAACCACACACAACACACAACAACACCACACACACAACAACACAC